CAGGATTGCTCAATCGGCTAAATTTGTTCACAATTGCTGTGACGTCACGCGCATGCCGGATTTTCAAGATGGCCGCTGATACGAATGATGTTTAGTTTGTGCTGACAACCATTTTATCGTAAATTCGGATTTATCTAGTGTTATAAGTGTAAATTTAAAGTTTCATTTAATGTGTGTAAGCATAAAAGACTCGTGGCTGAAAATACTCGCGAAAACCCCAAGCATTTTCTGGTTTTATAATACTGGATTTGTTGTATCAGGACATCGCTCTTCATCAGTGGCGGCTCGTGACTATTTCAAGTGAGGAGGCTAAAAGATTTTAAAGATTTTCAGTGATTTTGAGTAGATCTTACGAGTTTTTCTGGGATTTTGACCAACTTGTATACAAATTTTCACAGTGGCGGCTCGTCAGAGGATGCTAAGCTTCTCTCAAAAACTTGAAAATTCAATCTCAGTTTTTTACTCCTCATTTCTAATTAAAATAATAATTCACAAATTACACAACAGAATTCCAATTTTCGATATTTCAATGTAATTTAGAAAAATCTGACAACATTATTTCAATCAATCCCGTGCCCTCACGACAAAAATCTGTGAATCTGGGATACTCAGTAATTCCGGCCCGAAGGGCCGGAGTCATATGCGAGCCCGAAGGGCCGGAGTCATATGCGAGCCCGAAGGGCCGGAGTCATATGCGAGCCCGAAGGGCCGGAGTCATATGCGAGCCCGAAGGGCCGGAGTCATATGCGAGCCCGAAGGGCCGGAGTCATATGCGAGCCCGAAGGGCCGGAGTCATATGCGAGCCCGAAGGGCCGGAGTCATATGCGAGCCCGAAGGGCCGGAGTTATACGCGAGCCCGAAGGGCTAAAGTTATTTTAATTACGGGGCCCAGTCTATAATTCTATTGGTCAGTGGATAATTTGGGTGAATAATTTGGAGGCAATCAAAAATCGGGAATATTCAAAATGTGATTTATAGTTGATATTCCGAGTTTTAGTTTTCTCCAATGTCAGGGCCGGTTCTAGCTCTTTGGCCGCCCTCGTGCAAGAGCTTGTTTTGCCGCCCCTCATGAGAAACTTTTTGCTTCGGGGGAAGGGAATTTATCATAATATTCTATTTCTAGATTTGAAAAAAAAAACATATGGTAACACTGCTCATGATACAACAAACGTCAAAAAATTGAAATTTCAAACCTTGGGGTTTTTTGACAATCGATACAAAATGACGTCTTTTTGTTTCAAAGATTACAACCCGAAGGGCCGGAGTATTGAAATCAGTTGACAATGAACGGATTCGTTCGGATAAAACTTTTGTCATCAATATCGACAGATGTCACCTGTCAAATTTGACACATGTTCGACTTTTTCCCCGCTCTATTATAAAAACTACGAAAATCAAACCCCGGTAAAAGGCAGTTTCGCGACGCCAACTATCGATTTGTGTAAAAAAAAATTGACAGCTGTCAACGTCATATTTTGGGAATTTTGAGAAAAAAAGTGGTAGAAAACGTTCCCCGGACCCCAAAAACTTTAAATAAAAATTCCAAAAAAAAAACAACGAAAATGACATTCCAAAACCTACTTGATAAAACTAAAATTTTTCTCACTTACCCCGTTAAAACACTGGAAATTTTTGGTGGAAAATGAAGAAAACTCAAAGCCTCGTACTTTAAATCAGTTTTCTCGACTGAAAAAGCCCCGGAAAAGTGGAAATTCGAAGAAAAACTGAATAAAAATGTAAACACGTCAATTGAAAATGGCCGACAGCCACAAGCGATGTTGCCACATCAAAAGCATTTTAAATGGGATTTTGCTAATTATGGCATTTAAAACTAGAAATTTTTACTAAAAAATGAAAAAAACTTAAAGCCTCGTACTTTAAATCGGTTTTTCCGACCACAAAAGCCCTGGAAAAACGGACAAATCTAAAGAAAAACCTCTAAAAATGACATTCCAAAGCCTACTTAATGAAATTTGAGTTTTTATCACTTACCCCATTGGAAAACTGGGAATTTTTAGCACAAAATGTAGGAAATTCAAAGCCTCGTCTTTCTAATTGGTTTTCTTGACTGAAAACGGCCTGGAAAAGCGGAAAATTCGAGGAAAAACTGGATAGAAATATGAACACGTCAATTAAAAATTGCCGACTGTCAAATGACATTTATTACAGAACCTATTTGAAGTTGGTACAAACGGTGTTGCCACATCAAAACTTTTAAAAAAACCATTTTAAATGGGATTTTGTTATTTATGTCATTTTAAAACTGGACATTTTTGCTAGTAAATGAAGAAAACTCAAAGCCTCGTATGTTAAATCGCCTTTTTCCATTGAAAAGCCCCGGAAAAGCGGAAAATTCGAGGAAAAACTGGCAAAAAATCACAAGGCGTCACTTCAAAATGGCCAACTAAAAGCAACGTTGCCACATCTCATTTCGGAAAACAAAAATAACATTTTAAAAGGGTTTTTTGTTTAAAATTCAATTTAATAATTAATTAATAATGATTATAATAATTAAAATTCCCCAAATAAATCATAGGAAACTTGTTTTTAATTTAATTTCAATGAAAATGACATTACAAGGTTTCCTTATTGATTATTGTGAGTAGGACAAAGACAACGATAAAGTAGTATATGTTTGCGAAAACCACCGTTTTCTGAAAAAAATAAAAATCTCAGGAAAACCAACATTCCAAAGTCAATTTGATAAAACTAAAGTTTTTGAATATTCCCGACTCTTTGATCGGACGCTAAAAATCGCATTTTAAATATTCTCGGTTTTTGATTGGTTCTAAATTATTCACTGACCAATAGAATTATAGACTGAGTCCCATGATTAAAATAACTCTAGCCCTTCGGACTCGCGTATAACTCCGGCCCTTCGGGCTCGCGTATAACTCTAGCCCTTCGCGCTCGTATTACTCTCGGCCCTTCGGGCTCGCATATAACTCCGGCCCTTCGGGCTTGCATATGACTCCGGCCCTTCGGGCCGGAATTACTGAGTATCCCAGATTCACAGATTTTTGTCATGAGGGCACGGGATTGATTGAAATAATGTTGTCAGATTTTTTAAAATTACATTGGAATATCGAAAATTGGAATTCTGTTGTGTAATTATTATTTTAATTAGAATAAAAAATTGAAATTGAATTTACCCAATTTTTTGGGGGAGGTTTAGCCTCCTCTGCCTCCTCTGACGAGCCGCCACTGTCGCTCTTTTATTTGTGTGTATTGCTAGTTAGTATTTCCTAGTCAAGGATTTGTTTTGCTTTTTTTTTATAAATCAAATATCTACTTAGTTGTAAGTTTCCTTTGCATGTAATTACTAATAAAAATTAGGGTTTGTGAAGAGTGAATAAATAAATATGTAAATAAATTCCTTTACTGGCGCGTTTACTATGAAAACGCATGGAAAATATGAGAAACTTGCAATGTTTTTCTGGAATATGATTATGAGATTCTAAATTAGGTATCACTATTTGGCTTTGTGAAATAAGCTCACTTTGAATGTCCATATTAAATCGTTCTAGTACCTATTAAATTAATGAATAATAATTGAGAAGTACCTAGGTAGAGTCAGTAAAAAATAAAGCACACTATTGCAACCCCGTTTCGCTTATATTTTGATATTGAAATGCAAAAATTAAACCGGCTCAGCACTCCACATTTGGTTTTCTACTGTTTCTCAACTGTAGTCAATTGTGCTCAATTGTGCCAGTATTTATGCTGCTCATTTTCATACACAAAAAAAACATTGAAACGGGGGCCAGCTTGACTCCAGCCCTTCGTTTTTTTGACTTTTTGGCAATATGTTTGGCTAATTGATAAACAAAAGCAAACAAACTCGTCTTTCTAATTAGCAATTAGCCAACCACTCAAGCCTCAAGGACACAAGCTTTTGAAGTCTGCTAATTTTAAAATCAATAAATTAATTACAAAATACAGTTTTCAAAGGAAATAACCTCAAAATAACAATTTTTCACGTTTGAAAATGCAAGGATAGTGCACTGTCATAAAAAACACAAACCGATCAAGGACTGCGTGACGTCATTCGCATACCGCCATCTTCGATGTTTTTATGAACGTTTGTCTTATGGGATTGAGCAATCCTGTAGAGTTTACGATTCTTGGGGCAAACCATCGTTTCTGGGGGGGTCGCCCCCCCCAAATTCCTCCATGATTAAAATTCAATATCCCACAACCATTCAATAGCCACCAGTTGAATTTTTTTTTTAAGCAAAATAGAAAACAAAAGCAAGGGTGAAAAAGTGAGTTTATCTAAGAATGCTCAACTTACCTAAGCTCTGGACTCAAATGAAAACAATACACAGGTTAGTAGGTAGAAATTCGCTCTGAAATAGCTAAAACCCGGACAAGAAGCAAAACGATGTTATTCGTATCGAGTTGCAAACCGAAGTCGTTTGTGCTTGTCTAAGGTTTGTGCATGTGCATCTAACCTAACTTTCGCTTATTAATGGGCGTTACAGCCAACTATCGAAAACTATCGATGGTTGAAAAAAACTATCGATATATTTCGATAGTCGATACTATCGATAGTTATCGATAGTTCTCCACCACTATTTCCATGTTTTATGAGGGATGTTCACCTAAATCCCATATACTTATTCAGATTTGAAATAAGCAATGGGTGGGAACAAGATGGCGGCGTTTGCAATATAAATATATGGGATTTTAGAACCAATCAAAAATAAGACAGCAATTGTCGCCACTGTGGGTAATAGAGTCACTGTATTCAATGCTTTACCTGTATCTTGGTGCCAAAAACTTGGCTTCACTTTAGCTTCATAAGCAGAATGGCGCGTTCCTACTCCTTATGTCCGTAGGACAGCGCTTTCCTGCTCTAAGCGTGTAACGAACGCGTTTTCCATATGAATGGGATTTTAAAGAACTAAAGAACCAATCAAAAAGAAGACCGCCATTGTCGCCACTGTGGTAATAGAGTCACTGTATTTACATTTACAGGTTTTTCGAAGCGACATCTACCGAGATAGAGAAAATTTATTTTTCTTTCTTTTGCTGTTTGAGAAAATATCATTTTCTTCAAGAAAAATTCTTCAGGTTTTACTTGCCAAAAGTTTGGAGAGTGCCGAATAAAAAGCAGCAGATTGTTCCTGAAACAAATAATGGTACTAGAAAAAGGTAAGTACCTACTTAATTTGAATATTATGTAGTAGAAGATTCTATATTCTATGGGAGAAGGTAAAAACACATAAGGTATTGTTCGTCGATTTTTATCTGACACTTTCCGTATGAGGAGCGAGAGGGTGAAGTATATGGCAAAAACAGATGTCACGTCAGATGTGAGATGACCATTGTCGTTCTGATTCTGATGTAGGGTGCCACCAGCTCACATTCATTTCGAGTATCTGATTAAAATCGACGGACTTTACGTACGCATAGATACCTAAACAATTTTTGCCTTTTAATAATCTATCTTTACGACTTCACCGATTTCAGGAGTCACCAACGTTTAATGAATTAAGTGTGTATGACTCGCTAACTTGGTTAATACTATTAATTCAAAAATGGCGAAAGTGACGGCTTTTTCAAATAATTGGCTCTGTTATGACACTATTCTTGGAGAAGGAGCATATGGAGAGTAAGATAATTATTATAAGTATAGTATAAAAGTATATATCTATCTACGCCTTCTTTACAAAGGGGCTTATCTCAAAAAATTGCTAAATTCAGTTAGGCCCTTGCGAGGCATCAAAACAGTTACCTGCAGCTACTTTCTAAAAGGCGTATCTCAAATATAGGTAGTCTCAAAATATGCCTTTTTCATTATTAGGCTCATCTCAGATTTGGCACAAAAATAATCTCAAAAAAAAAACTTTTTTTTTCTCTCCTGAAAAATCACAAAAAATGAGATAGGCTTGAGATAGGCCCTTTTTCCTTTTGCAAGGAAGGCGATGATATTACGCATACCTACACAGGTTATTTGTTATTTTAAATTCTACGTTCACTGAACAATGAGCAATAGCGGAGATGGATTAGATAATATTATAGCTATTTATGTACCAATAAGGGCATTATGTGGATTATAATGCTCAGAAGGCGAAACTAGTCCGAGGGATATATTTTTGTCCTAAAGGGCGTTATTCCGGGTTCACTACAATTCACTTAACAATACTAATTGACCACTTAGTAAAACGTACCTACATGACAAATATCAAATATAGACAGTGTACTCGGGATTTATCTGGAAAAACCCCGGCGCCCTACTTGAATGGAATTCTCCGAATTGTTTGCGCCACACGCAAACAATTGCATTCGTGCATTCTCAGAATCTGGCCGGGCTCCCGAGGCAATTTCGTAACAATACTTTTACTTTATCACCTGCAAACTGGAAAAATTCTAAGGCACGAAATCAGGGTGACTATAGAATAAGCGATCACTAGATACTGAGTATATGATTATCTTCTATTCTATTCTTATTGTCATCGATTGTGCGTTTGAAAACTAATTCTGGAGCCGCATTAGTCTTAACACATCCAGTCTCGGGCAACATATTGTCTTTTCCTCTGCTCTCTCGATTCTTCCTGCGGTCCTTCTTTTCAGTCTCGTGTCTGTATCGCCGTTCTTCAAAAGTTTGTGGTCCGTCTATCATTTGCTGTCGTTTTCCAGTTGCTGGTATGGATACGGCACTTACTTTTCTTCAGATTACATATTTTTGTAGCATTTCTGTTGGCCTCCTTGATTTCGTTTTCAGTAATGCCGTTAGTCCAGCTGACTTAAATGTTCCTAATTTGGCTGATTGCCTTTTCAACCTCTTCTTATTTGGGAACTTCGCTCACTTCTTGTTGTATGGGTTTCTGTGGAATTTTGTTGAAGATGTCATTATTAATTTAAGTAGTTCCTGAAAGTGTTTTTTCGGCTTCCAATGAGAATTAATAGAAGAAGTCTTTTATTCAAGTAGTCTTGTGTCATCTTTGGATCATAAGGGATTGAGTCTTTGAGTAATTGGTCCGTATATCATCTTAGTAGCCTGAAAGAAGGCCCTGGTGCTGTTGGATTCAGACAGTTGCTGCATTACGAGTGTGCACCGGCAACGTAGGCCGTCGCCTCATTGAATTGTCTATCAAAAAGGTGTTATTTTGATGTTTTTTTGGTAGCATTAAATAGTCAAAAGTATTTAGGGTGAAACATCGTGCCCTGTTTTCATTGTGAGAGTGAAAGCAAGTGAAAAAACAATGTATTTTAATATCCAATAAAGTGTAAACAATCCCATTCTACCCGTACTGAAGGTTACCTAGTAAGCATTGTTGCCAAGTTGTAAACATTCACACAAACATTTTCTAGTAAAGTACATGGTAATGTTTTTCATGTGAATAAATGCAGCTGGGACCATGGAATGTGATGTATGTAAGGAAAAAAAATCTATAAACATAAAAGTTTTTCCATGTGATGGATGTAATTTAAATATATGTACTAAATGTAGCAAAGTTACGGCTTCAGAAGTAAAAGTGTTGGAGCTTCGCAATGGGCGAATTATGAAATTTCTATGTCATAAATGCACTAAATTTGAAACGTTTGAATCACTTAATCAGACTATAAAGGATAAAATTGATATTATAGATGGTAAGGATGAAATCATAAACCTACTTAAAAGCAAAATAAAAGATTTGGAGCTTGCACAACAAAATGTTAATACCACTCCGCTCTATAGTAACATAGTACAATCCATAGCAAATAATTCACTTATCAATAAACAGAAGATTATTAATAACATCCCTAGTATATTAATTATTCCTAGAAACCCACAAAATGCTAAAGTCACAAAAAAAGATCTACAAACATATGTCAAACCTTCTAATCTAAAAATTGGCATTAAAAATATCAGATCAACCAAGAATGGCAGTGTGGTAGTTAAATGTCATAATAAACAAGACTCAAACCTCTTTAAGGATGAAGCCGAGAAAAACTTACCTAACTATGAAATCCAAATTACCAAAATGAAACAACCTAGATTTAAAATTATTGGTTATACAGGAAGCCTGAATGCAACCGACTTGGAAACTTGCATCCGTGATCAGAATGATTATGTCAATGAAAATGATAACATTAATGTAACATACCTAAAAAAAAATAGATCTAACAATACCTACACAATATTTGGAGAAGTTTCACCAAATTTATTTCATAGGATGCTTGTCAATAAGAGGTTGTTTATTGAGTGGACTAGTTACCCTGTTTTTGAAGATATCTCTATACAGCGATGCTTTAAGTGTCAGGAATTGTATCACAAAGGTACTCAATGCAAAAACCAAACAGAAACATGCGGTTATTGTGCAGAAATGCATAACACCCTCAACTGCTCAAAGGACAAGGATAGGAAGTGCATCAATTGTGTTCGAGCAAATGCAAAATACAAACAGGAACTTGAAATTAATCATGCAGCTAATAGCCCGGATTGTCCAACATATAAGTATCACTTGGGAGTAAGATAGACTATGGTGGTTCCAATGGCAGGTAATATATCAGAAGTGGACATTGGAGAACAATTGGATTTATTGGATGAAGAATTGCAAGGTACAACTGACTGTGATACAATTAAAACTATAATTAAATCAAATAACAATATTTTGAGTATTTTGCATCTAAATATACGTAGCATACTTTAATAATTTGCTCATATTTCTGGAAGCCTATGATTTCAAAAATTGTGATATTATTATACTGACTGAAAGTTGGTCTATTGAGAATATTAATCTCTATAACATAAATAACTTTAATGTTTACTATAACAATGCAAATTTTAATAAAAACGATGGCACTGTTGTGTATATTAAGAGGAGTCTTGATGCCTTGGTGAAAGACTTGAATTTCGATTCATCGAAAGTCACCATGTGTCATATAAATTTCAGTATTTCTGGCATAAGCTATGAAATTGTTTGTGGTTATAGGCCACCTTCCACTGACATACAATCTTTTTTTAATGACTTGGGAAATTATTATTCTAACAGAAGGAAAAAACAGATTGAGTTTCTGATTGGTGACATCAATATCTCCAATAGGGAGGATATAGAAGTTAATCAATATCTATCTCTTTTGCATTTCTATGGATTTAACAGTGCTATAAATGGCCCGACACGAGTGACACCAAGCAGTGGCTCGTGTCTAGATCACATATTCGTAAGAAATAGTTATAAAACAAATTTATTTCAGCAAGCTTCATTTATACTTGAAAGTGACATAACTGATCATAACCCTGTAATGATTAATTTTTCATATAAAAATATACAAAAGAAAATTATTCAGATATCCAAAATAGTTTCAACATTTAATGACCATTTATTTGAAAATCTAATTAAGGGAGAAAGCTGGAAGGAGGTTTTTGAAACAAATGTTGCAGATATTGCTGCCCAAAATTTCATTGAAAAAGTTAGCCAGTCCATAGAAAAAGCTACAGATCGCAAAACAGTTTACTATATTAACAACAGAAAACTTAAACCATGGATTACTATAGGTCTTATCTCAGCAATTAAAAAACGAGATAAAATGAAAAAATTACTCTTAAACAAGAACAGTCCGCAAGCTAAAGAGGATTACATTAATTATAGAAATAATCTGAACAAAATTATTAATAAACAGAAATTTAATTACTATAAAGCACAAATAGATTCAAATCAACATAATTTTAAAAAAATATATAATATAATATCAGACGCAGTAAATGAAAATAAGGTATATTCTGAGAAATTAGAAATAAGGGATGAAAGTGACAAATTGTTTGTGGATGAAAAGCAAATGGCTGAATATTGTAATGTTTTTTTTATTGACATAGGCAGGAAAATGGCTAATAAAGTGAAACCACCGACTGTTCTCACTTCTCAAATAGAATACAACGCATTAAGCTCTATGTTCTTAAAACCTGTTGATAAAATCGAAATAATTAAACATATCAATTCCCTAAAAAATAATTGTTCCCCTGGCTGTGATGGAATACAAACTAAAATGATAAAAAGATATTATAAATATTTTATTGACCCATTGGCACATATAATAAACCTAATATTTACAACAGGATCTGTGCCCGAATGTTTTAAAACTTCTATTGTTACTCCCATTTTCAAAGCGAGTGACAAAAAAAAAAATAACAAATTATCGGCCTATCAGTGTTATCACAAATTTTGCAAAAATATTTGAAAAATGCCTCAAGGAGAGGCTTTGGAATTTTTTATCAATGAATAACATTTTATCAGAAAATCAATATGGGTTTCGAAATGGTATTAGCACTGTTGATGCTATTCTCAGACTCACAAGAGCAATCACAAAACACCTTGATAGTGGTAAAAAATGTCTAACTGCTTTTCTTGATCTTGCGAAGGCCTTTGACACAGTGCCTCATGACTCTCTTATTGATGTTTTAAACATTTATGGGGTCAGAGGTGTTGTGTTGGATGTCTTTGCAAGCTATTTGACAGGTCGAAAGCAATTGACAAAAATTAATAATGTATTAAGCAATAGTTCGGAGGTTCTGATTGGCATTCCTCAAGGAACAGTTATGGGCCCTTTGCTTTTCTCATTATACATTAACTCCTTGACTAATATTCCGATAGATAATGGCATGGTGATATCCTACGCGGATGACACCGCTGTGATTTTTACAGGAGAAACATGGGAAGAAGTATATACACATGCCTCTCATGGGCTACATAATATTAAAAATTGGCTTGATACTTTTAAACTCACTTTGAATGTTGAAAAAACTAACTATATAGCTTTCTCCTTAACAATGGCAAATCGCCCCAATTTTGATGGCATTAGGGTAGACGGATTTGAAAGAGAAATTAGAGAGGTGCAACATACTAAATATTTAGGAGTAATTATTGATCAGAACCTCAAATGGAAGTAACATGTGACTAGGTTGACTAGTAATATTAGAAAATTAATTCGTAAATTTTAGATGATAAAAGAAATATTAAATGAACATCTTTTAATCTGTGTTTATAGAGCTCTGATAGAATCTCTCTTGAGATATGCTATGATTGTATGGGGAAGTTCATATGAAAATGCACTAAAACCCCTGAAAACAGTCCAAAATTATATTCTCAAGATTATTTTTGGAAAAGATAAAATGTTTCCCACCTGTCAACTTTATAGTAATAAAATCCTCTCCTTAAGGTGTTTGTATGTGTTGAGTGTCTGTTCTTATATGTATCAAAATGTCAAATTAGTGGGAGAACATGTCAGTCACTCCTACTCCACCAGGTCCAATGTTGTAAGAGACCTACAGATACCTAACAGTGCCACTAATTTAAATATAAGATCTATTGAATATCTTGGTGTTAAAATCTACAACATCCTACCAGTGGAACTCAGAAGGATGACAGTTAACAAAAAAAAATTTATGCATAACTGTAGAGACTTCATATATAGTAACTTTGTCAAGTTTTCATCTTTGTTTTAACCTTTTAATCAATCAGGCGGAGAATTGTTTCCCTTTTTTTTCTTTTTCTTCTGTCATGGCGTACACTAAAAATTTTTGATTATATTTAATTAGTATTTAGGCAAATATTTTAAGTTAGAAATTATCAAAATCCAGTTTTATATGTAGTAGGTACATACAGAAATTTAGTTTTCTAGGTACCCCACAACACTATGTTGATATGTATAATTTAAAGTATATTATACATTCCATAATTATTATTGTAAATCTTTTAAAATTGTAATAATATATTGAATATTGAATATTGAATATTTCGTTTAACAAACCAGTCTTGAATCTTGATGTTTCTTTTATATGTAGAAGTTTCTGGCTTGGAAGTTTTTCATCATATGATCGTTTTGAAGACGTTCTATGTTAAATTTGCGTTTGAACTGGTGGTCAGTTCAGGCGGTTTCCAGAACGAGAAAGTACAATTGTATAATCAAATAGATGCCACACTGTTTTGACGTAGGGTGTTGCCAAGAAGTCTTAAATTTATTCTTTTGTCAAAAAAGTGTATTAGTTATTACAATGTGAAATTCTATTACCTACTAAGTATACAAAGTTTTCTATAAATCCTCAAGCAGTGGCGGCTCGTCAGAGGAGGCAGGGGAGGCTAAACCTCCCCCAAAAAATTGAAAATTCAATCTCAATTTTTTATTCCTGATTTATAATTAAAATAATAATTAACAAATTACACTTTCCAATTTTCGATATTTCAATGTAATTTAGAAAAATCTGACAACATTATTTCAATCAATCCCGCGCCTTCACGACAAATATCTGTGAATCTGGGATACTTAGTAATACCGGCCCGAAGGGCCGGAGTTATATGCGAGCCCGAAGGGCCGGAGTTATACGCGAATCCGGCCCGAAGGGCCGGAGTTATATGCGAACCCGGCCCGAAGGGCCGGAGTTATACGCGAGTCCGAAGGGCTAGAGTTATTTTAATCATGGGACTCAGTCTATAATTCTATTGGTCAGTGAATAATTTAGAACCAATCAAAAACCGAGAATATTTAAAATGCGATTTTTAGCGTTCGATCAAAGAGTCGGAAATATTCAAAAACTTTAGTTTTATCAAATTGGCTTTGGAATTTTGGTTTTCTTAAGATTTTTACTTTTTTCAGAAAACGGTGGTTTTTGCAAACATATACTACTTTATCATTGTCTTTGTCTTACTCACTATAATCAATAAGGAAACCTTGTAATGTCATTTTCATTGAAATTAAACTAAAAACAAGTTTTCTATGATTTATTTGGAGTATTTTAATTATTAAAATCATTATTAATTAATTATTAAATTAAATTTTAAACAAAAAACCCTTTTAAAATGTTATTTGTGTTTTCCAAAATGAGATGTGGCAACGTTGTTTTTAGTTGGCCATTTTGAAGTGACGCCTTGTAATTTTTTGCCAGTTTTTCCTCGAATTTTCCGCTTTTCCGGGGCTTTTCAATGGAAAAAGGCGATTTAACATACGAGGCTTTGAGTTTTCTTCATTTACTAGCAAAAATGTCCAGTTTTAAAATGACATAAATAACAAAATCCCATTTAAAATGGTTTTTTTTTAAAGTTTTGATGTGGCAACACCGTTTGTACCAACTTCAAATAGGTTTTTTAATAAATGTCATTTGCCAGTTTTGACAGTCGACAATTTTTAATTCACGTGTTCACATTTCTATCCAGTTTTTCCTCGAATTTTCCGCTTTTCCAAGCCGTTTTCAGTCAAGAAAACCGATTTGAAATACGAGGCTTTGAATTTCCTATATTTTGTGCTATAAATTCCCAGTTTTTCAATGGGGTAAGTGACAAAAACTGAAATTTCATTAAGTATGCTTTGGAATGTCATTTTTAGAGGTTTTTCTTTGAATTTGTCCGCTTTTCCAGGGCTTTTCTGGTCGGAAAAACTGATTTAAAGTACGAGACTTTGAGTTTTCTTCATTTTCCACCAAAAATTTCCAGTGTTTTAACGGGGTAAGTGAGAAAAACTTTAGTTTTATCAAGTTTTTGGAATGTCATTTTCGTTGGCTTTTTTTTTTGGAATTTATATTTAAGGTTTTTGAGGTCCGGGGATCGTTTTCTATAACTTTTTTTCTCGAAATTAGCAAAATAAAAAAAAAACTTTTTTGACGTTGACAGCTGTCAATTTTTTTTGACACAAATCGATAGTTAGCATCGCAAAATTGCCTTGTACCGGGGTTTGATTTTCGTAGCTTTTATAGTAGAGCGGAGAAAAAGTCGAACATGTGTCACATTTGACAGATGACATTTGTCGATATTGCCAAAGTGTCGTGCGACAAAAGTTTTATCCGAACGAACCCGTTCATTGTTAACTGATTTTTCATACTCCGGCCCTTCGGGCCGTAATCTTTGAGACAAAGAGATGTCATTTTGTATCGATTGTCAAAAAACTCAAGGTTTGAAATTTCAATTTTTTGACGTTTGTTGTATCATGAGCAGTGTTGCCATATGTTTTTCTTTCGAATCTCGAGCTCGAAGGGCCGAAATTATAGATTATTTTAAAGCCAATCAAGAGCCGGGAATAAACAAAATTCGAATTCCCAAACCAATCAGGAGCCAGGAAAATTCAAAAATTCGAATTCCAAACCCGAAGGGAAATTGAATTTTTTGTACCAACTGTTGCTACATAAATCTCACCCTAAAACCCACTAAAAAATGACCTTTGTTTTTTGGAAAAAACAAAAGATTTTTTTTTTTGAGATTGACAGCTGTCAAAATTTCAATGGGCATATAGATTTAGCCTCGGCAAATACGTAGGAAGTACTAATTTTTTTTTTAACATATGTCAAAAAAGACGTTCGGCGGATATGGAATTTTGAAATTGAAATCTAAATGGAATTCCGAGGAATTTCATGAAATTCTATACTGTAATTAGCCTCCTCAATTTAAATAGTCACGAGCCGCCACTGTCCTCAAAAGATCGCTCGCTTTTAGGGTCAAACTCTTAGTTAACAAAAATACAGAGCAAAAAGTTGCCTGCAAAATCATCGAGCATTACAAACATAAGGACGCCAAAGAGAAAATTAAGAAAGAAGTCATGATACACAAAATGCTTGATCACGAGAATATTATTAAATATTTTGGTAAAAGACATGAACCTGAAAAGGGATATATATTTTTGGAGTATGCTTCGGGTGGAGAACTTTTCAACATGATAGGTACGTATTGTATTATTGTATACATACTCTGATATTATTACAATGTTGTTTTTCCTATTGCGATTTACAACTCAGTACTCAAAGTCTCCTTTTAGTGATTTTCAAAAAATTGTAATTAATTTCCGTTAGTAATAGTGTAGTGGAATGAGGTTGAAACTTAAATTATTTTTTTGTTAGAACCTGATGTTGGCATGCCTCCAGCAAATGCTCAGTATTTTATGAAGCACTTACTTCGTGGTGTAAACTATTTACATCAAAAAGGAATTGCACACAGAGACATAAAACCTGAAAATTTACTCATAGATGGTCGAGGAGTTTTAAAAATTAGTGATTTCGGATTGGCAACTATTTTCATGTTAGACGGCAAGGAACGCACGCTTTGCAAACCGTAAAAATTATCTCTAGTCCAAATTTTTTTTGTATTCAATTAATTTTCTTAGATGTGGAACGAAACCTTATACAGCACCGGAAGTTAGACAAAAGTGCTATTCTGCCAGACCAGCAGATTTATGGAGCTGTGGCATCGTTCTTGTAGCTATGTTGGCAGGCGAGTTGCCGTGGGTCGAAGCTTTAAGTACTAATGAAGATTTTTCACGATGGTGTACCGACTACTGTTTAACAGCCGCTCCGTGGTCAAAGCTTGGCAACACAGCTCTGAGTTTGATAAGACAAATATTAAATCAAGACAGACAGAAAAGACTTACTTTGAAACAGATTCTCCGACATCCATGGATGAAATTTGACTTTGGAAATGGTAAGTTTATATTTTCATTCAATTTTTTTTTGGCTTAGATCAATCAATTTTTATTGAATAACTAGACTTAACATTTAAATAGTATGTAACAAGAGCAAAAACAAAATATATAGGCAATTATGGTTGTATAGTAGATATACATCATTTGATTCATTTTGTGCATCCTGGCTTTCACATTTTAAGTTATTTTTCTTCAGATGGCGACCTAAAGATTGAATCTGATGGTATCCCGATGAATTTTACAGCAGCCGAAACAAATAATTACAATCGAGAAATAACTGAAGCTACTATATCTCAACCCGTAATGGTTACACGTTCATCTTGTGTTGATGAATTGGTCAATGAGGTTGCATCAAACAAAAAGAAAGATGTATGCTTCTCGGAGCCTACAAAAATCGATGATTTTATTTTGCAGTTGACTCAAACTCCAGTAGAAAAGTCGAATTTTCACAATTTGGTGAAAAGGATGACGAGATTTTATGTATTGTGCAATCGGAAGGAAGCTTTGGATTATCTTGGATCGGTTTTGGATGGTTTACGTTACTCTTGGGCTTTAGATTGTACAGGAACGATGACAATTTGCACAGTAGATTTTCGTAAAAACCCATTAGTCTTTAAAATGAATTTATTCGATATGGATGGCAAAATACTAATGGATTTTCGATTATCCAAAGGCTGCGGAATAGAATTTAAAAGGAAAATTATTAAGCTTAAAAGTTGCCTTTCAAATATTATTCAAAAGTCGGAAGAACATAGCTCCACCACAGCTTTTTCTACTCCCAGCACAACTTCATCACTTCAATAAAATAGGAATTAAATTCATATATGTATAGTTGAGTGACTATATTATGCTAAGAGTATAACGTATAACTTATTATTTATTTTTTTAATAGTGAAATTAAATTCAAAACCATAGTTCAACCACTTTCCATCTTAGTATAAGATATCGATTAGTTGTCATATACCATAACGTAATATCTTTGATAATATTATAGGTATTGTGCATTAACGTTTTTCCAATATTTTTGTTGTTAGAATTAGGTTATATTAGTATCACTAAACTAAAAACAAAGATACAGTCATTTTTGTGTTCTGGTTTAGATTTGATTTGACTCAGATAAAGATAAGTATAGTTAAGTATTTGGATTTTCAGTAACAAGGTTAATTTTGCCAAGAGCAAATAAAAATAGAATTTTCACAATTTTTTTATCGATTGTGTATTATTTCATTTTGAGAAATATATAAAATAACATAGGCGCCGGCTTTCTAAAATCTGTATGAGTGCTTAGCCAAAGGCGGCATAAAATAGCTAAAGGCTTATTTTTGGCGCCACTCCCAATCCCTTATTAAGGATATTCTTCTTTTTTTTTTTTTTTCATTTTCCGCATTTATCTGTAGTATACCTATAACCGGTAAGTACCTGTATGTATACCTACCAATATTAGGTATTCTACTTTTCCGCACTAGTACGGAAAAATAATGCGGAAAAGTGGCAATTTCATGATCTAAATGCTTGCGGACTCGAAAAAGTGGGGTTTCACGCACGCTCGTAGGAAGCTTTCGAACCCCTCTTAAACTACCCAAAAACAGTGGCGTAACTAGGCCCCGCAGTTGCGGGGGGGGGGGGGTGGCCGTGACTTAGGGGCCCCAGACCAGGCGACAAGAAACTACTAAACTGGCGACAAGAAGATTACTAAACTAAGAGAAAATACTTAAACCTAACCTTTGAACCTCATAATACATAAAAACCATTGAAAAAGTATGTCTAACCAATGTAAAAGATCTCAGAGAGAAATGTTTAGACACATAGGCGCCGGAACCATGAGGGCAATGGGGCTTGAGCCCCCGTTGTGAATTCAGTGATTTTCGCGGTGTAGTGAGTAGGTACAAAAATATTGAGTTCCTGATCCTAACATTCCTAACTATTTATTTTTTTATCCCATTTTGACGTTTAAAAATGACATTATTGAACCCATAACAATAGAGGTAAGAAGTTTATCACCTCAGTGATTTAAAAACATTTTAACTCATTCCCGGCATTTTTCCTTGTACTTTATTTTTATAAATTTCCACAAAATGGGATAAAATTTTGTATACATCACGTGAGTTAAAATATTTATTCATTCGAAGATAATTAACCCACTCGCTAGGGCTCGTGTAGGTCAAACTTTTTTCTCATGAATAAACATTCATTTAACTCACTTGGTGTATAAATAACTTGTGTGTGTTTTATGTTTTTGTTGTTTTTGCTATAACCACTTTGACAAACAGTTTGACAGATACCCATTACCCAACATAACGGATCTCTTGAAGAAGCTGGGATGCACTGCCTTAGATTTAGCTAGCGACTTCCACCAGATCTAGACAACCACATCGAAAAAACAGCACAGAAAACAGGCATTATAAGTTCTTGCGCATGCCCTTGGGTTTGGAGAACACGCCGACTACATTCCAAAGAGTTATGGATGATATTCTATATTCCAATATATTGAGCAACTTTAACACCAAAAGCTGGAACATCCCATCAATAATAGTTACAGTATTTACTTCAGAAAGAAGCATTTACTAATTTCCGGTAGTTTCGAAATGTAGTATCTAACTTCGTTTCGAATTAAATACTACGTAGAACATACTAATACTTGTAGTAGTAGCAAGTACTTCGTTCTTATTCATACCACCCAATGACACCATTTTGTAGAGAAAAAAGAATCTTGAATCTTTTGTATGAACACTTTTTTCTAAAGTTAATAGATTTTGAAATATTCATTTAATAAGTTTAATTTTTTTTTACATTTTCCCTTATATCTCGGAAACGAATAAAAACTTGGCAACCCTGTGTTAATGGATACTAAAATTTGCCACTTTTATCTAATTTAACCTACTTCGTCCCTCTTACCGGTTCGGAAATAGCTAAGCCTGCCTGTTATACGGGACAGTCCCTTATTCCAAGGTCCATGTCCCGCGTCCCCAAATTTGTTGTCGGGACGCGTAAATGTCCCATATTCTCTGATATTTCAAAAAACGTGAAATAGGCAATTCGATTTTGCCCCTCATTCCCTCATCTCTAGTCTCAGCAAAACGCAACGTGCTGGTTATTCGACAGCATTTAACATTTGACAGTTGAGAATTTGGCGAATTCGGCCCAAAGGTAATAATCACCACTAACGATTGCTTTATTGCTTATCGGCCTCATTTTTGGTAATGGCCACCATATTGGTGTATCACCATTGCCGACGTCATCAACTAAGTCGTCAGCGACGTTAGCTGTTTGCGCCAGCAGTCGTAGTTTAGAATTTAAATATATGATGAAAAATATTATTTAATTTTGATTGAACATAATAGGCAAAGATGCAAACGAGATCTGAAAAATAGTTGTTTTAAAATGTTAATTAATGTAGTAAAACCAAGTATGCATAAAGTAAAAGCGTTGATTCTTGTGGTGCAAACAGTCTAGGTCAAGGCGAGAAACGACATGCTGTCTACGTCACAAATGGTGATTTGGTGGGGTAGGGGCATTGAGGTAGTATATAGGGTAGGAGGCGACGTCACCTAACAAAAAGTGGTAGCGGGTCCGCCATACTAGTGCTGGTTTTGTGTCATTACTTACCTACTGACATTACAACTGTCATACTCAATTTCTGATTTCGAGACGTAATACACAATTTTTGCTTATTTTGGGGTTTTTTCGACAACACAATAAGCGTTGTGTATGAGAGAAGTATAATGTCTTCATGTGCAGTAAGAAGTTGCTGCAGCAAGTTTGGCGTAGAAAAGAAGACATCAACGGGAATATCATTTCATAGGTGAGTATAAACAACATTCAGGATCGGACTTCCAATTTTTTGTTATAGTTTTAATATGTAGTTATGTTTTTTAGAAGTATAATTTTTTAACAATTTTTAGGCCACATAAAAACAATTAAATACATGTAAAAATTGAAATACCAATAGAGTCTGACTTTTAAATATATTTGAGCTATATGAAGTAAACAAATATGACATTTTTGAGCTGAATCCAACCCTGATACAGCGGCCATATTGGTGCTGGAATAAGCTCATAATGATCCCGTTATCAATGCATACTCGTGTCTCGTATACGGCAACAGCGTCTCCTTTTATATAATATCTCAATGGGTAGGGGGCTTCAGATTTGTTCTACACAGGCCTTATGAGGATAGGCTAGCCTGTAGTATAGTAGTGTGTATTATCCGTGAGTTCGATCTACGGGCGGGGTCCCGAAAAAACAGAAATTCGCCTGCGGCGCTATTTTTTTCTTAAATACATGAAACATCTGCTTCATAAAAATGTCCCGTTTTTTTTATCGGAATATTATGGTAGCCTTAGAAATAGCAATAGTGGTATCACTTAAAACGGACACTCTGTGCAAAACAGAACAGTGCACCCATGATCGCCATTCAACAGCCACTCGACTCGCTGATTGGACCTCTTGGATCAGACGATCAGACACTATACAGGTTTGCTCATCTGTCGGTATTTTTCGGATTATAATAGGCATTTTCGGAAATGGTGTTCCGATTAACCCGATCACCAACTAATTAAGATTGTCTTTTTTCATTAGCGTTCATTGGTGATCGGGTCAATCGGAACAGCGTTTCCTAAAAGCTCTATTATGTAGCGCGGTCTGATATTTGGACGAGAATGGAGAATGATTTGAAAGACGCGTCACGTTTTGGCAAATTTCGTTACGAGAGAGAAGAAAAATATAACGTAGAGGGACGGAGAAAGAGAGGCAATGACAATGACAGCCGACGAACGATTGACACAAGACAAGGATTATAAACTATTATTGTTAAACGCCTATATTCTCGTGACGTCATTACAGATTCGCGTTTTCCTTCGTCTTTATACCCCGACTCATTACACTGTCTAAAAGTTGTATGACGGGGAGATAGTTTTTAAGAAGTTTCACTTTTACCACGTGTACGGCGCTGCACATGTTTTTTTGGTTTTTGTTGATTTTTTCATTACCTGAACTAGGAAAATTATAGATTTAAAATTTTTCGTTATATATATTTTCAGTATGGGTGCTTGCGCACCCACAGCACCCATGCAGTCGGCGCCTATGTAAAATAACCTCTCCCTTTCTTATCCTTCTTCTTGTCCTTTATACTCGAGATAATATCCATGACGGTCATGGTCTGACTTCACGTTTATTGGCCTGCGGATTGGTACAGGGTGATTATAAATGTCACCCCCTCCTAACTCTTTGATGAAGGTGTCAAATAATTTGAAGAAAAAGTCAAAAGTTTTTAACTAATGGCGTTTCTGATTGGTAGATTGTAGATTCAGTGCGCACTGAGTGTATTTGCATCCTTTTAATTGGCCTGTAGAAGAAAAAGAGAGAAATAGAAAAAATTGCACTAGTTCCGCAATAAATCTCTCAGACAGCACACGTTGTCCATTGGATGTCCAGTATTGGTCCAATTTTGATCCAATTGTCCATGGATCGTTTATGGACATCCCATGGATGCCAATTTTGCTTAAGCCAACGGACTAAAAAATAAATTTTTCCGATGGACCTCCATTAGCTGTCCAAAAGAAATTTTGAAGATCATTATATGTCCAATGTTTCTCATTTTTTATGAAGCCATTGGACTGGAAATTTGATATATCCATGGGATGTCCATGCTTTGCAGAAAAATGTGTCTCTTTATTTTTAATACAAATGGACATCCATTGGATCTAATAAATTTGCATGCCTATGGCTTTACAAAAAAGATATTTCGTTGGATATTAATTTTGCTTGAAGCAACGGACTAGAAAATAAATTTGTCCGATGGATTTCTATTTACAAGATCCATAGGATGTCCATGTTTTGCAAAAAAATATCTGTCCATTTTTCTAACAAAAATAGGCACCCCATATAATTTATAGGTATGCATCTACTATGGACCTATACAGGAGGATCGAGGCGATTTCGATTTGACCGCAGTTTAGCCCTTCGCCCGTATGTAGGCACTATTTTTCCCTGTTCAATCAGTAATAGGTATTTTCCATCAGAGTTGAAAGAAATAGGTACAAACATTTTTTGTTGTGTTATTTAACATTTGGAAATCATCTTGATCAGTAAACATCAAAATTAGGTAGGTAGGTATTTCAGATAAAACAGGTAAAAATAAGAAATTTTTCGTGTTTCCTTGGAACTCGAATCTCTATTTTTATTTTCCACCTGCATACTGCACAATAATAGTATATTATATACCTAGGTAGAGAAGTTGGTCATTATATATACCGAGCGCTTTTATAAACCGAGGCGCAAAGCGCCGAGGTTTATAATGCGTGACTTTCTCTATCGAGGAATATATAGAATTTTTTTTACTACTGCTAGTAGAAAATAAAAAATTTGCTTAAAATCTGTGCTCTAATTATTTTTTTTTGAACGCCCTATAGCTACTACTGCTATGTGTTTGCTTGATATATCACCAGCGAATGAAAACACTGTTTTACTAATAACTCGGTTTAATTCTGGGCACTGAACATACAAATAAATCGAAATACTTTATTTT